TGGTCCGATCTCCAGATATGGTGTCTAATGTGGTTTAATGTCTGACATGGCATCTAATATAATTACGGTCAGTTTCATTTCGATTCAGTTTGACACAATTATAGATTACTCCGATCATGCCATTCCCCAGCACTTGGATTTAAAGGATTTCTTGCCTGTAGATAATCTTGGGATTGAGTCCTCAACATCCTTTTCAGGGCTAGATGATTACTCTCAGCCAATCAATTTGATCCCCTTTACCACTGATTGGCTCACAGATGAGAGGTCCTGAGCCAATAGGCGTGGATAAGACCTAAGGAGAGGCTGTGGCTTGTAGAAAGGGAATCCAGTCCCTCTGTCCCACTAGTCTGCCGCCACCAAGCATGTTACCCCAGCTGCTGCCGAAGCCCTCCAACGGGCATCAAGGAACACAAGACTCAGGCCGGAGCCCCGTTAAGGGTGGCGGAGGAGAGGGGCAGGAGAGGGCCCTGCTGATGTCACTGGGCCACTGAACCAACCAGCCCTGATGCCAGGCCTGCTTGCTCCCTTCGAGATGAGAACTTTGTTATCTGCAGATGGAAACCCTCCTTTACCCTGCTTCACCCTACTGTGGAGGGGCAGGCTGCCCAGACTCCTCACTCTGGGGAGAACCAGTCTCGCCTGGGCTGAGTAGAAGAGCTAAGCACGCTGCCCCTCGCAGGCAGGTGTGTTGCCTCTCCCAGGCAGGGGCTCCCCCCTCTTTTTAGTGAGATAAGCACAGACCCAGATAATTACAAGAGATGCCACCGGAAGAGCCGTCGTTAATTTTGATGGCAATAAAGGGCCTTGCCAGCATGTTAAGCTAATTTCATGAAAGCACTAGGAGGAAGGTTGTGGACTAGATCCCAGGTTATTAATAAGTCGAGCTTCATTTGAACCATTCAGGAAATTCCTCCCAGTGGCCTCCAGCAAACTGCCACAGGTTGCTACTTTCCTCTGAAATCAAAGGTCTTCCCATATGCAAATGTGGATTTTTGTTTTGTTTTGTTTTTCCCCGGAAAGTAATTGAAGTCACTGAGCCCAATAAATACTTAAACAGATTGTGGTTTTAATTAAAAACCTTCCACCAGGGCTGCAGCTGCAAGTCTTTCTTTCCAAACAGGCACACTGGTGACAGCTACAAGCATGAGAATCTGAGTTTCAGTATCTGAGACTACAGAGCTTTACAAATCGTAATAGTAATTCTGATTGCGACCCATGCCATGGGGGTAGGGGCGGAGGGAGGAAAGAGAGACACATGGGGGCAGGGCCAAGGTCCTTCTTCCTATGGAGCAGGCTGGGGGGGGGGGACACAAGCATGTGGGAGCAGGTGTAACAGAACATCTCATCATACCTGTACCCAACTCTGGGAGGCAATAATAATGGCTAATTCTGGCTATTGTTGGAAAAAATTAGTCGTTTCTGAGCACTAAGTGCCAGGTACTATGCGATTTGCATGCATTGACTCACTGAATCCTCACAGCCACTTAACACAATAGCTATTCTTATTTATGCCGGTTCCCCAACCCCAGACACAGAGAGGTAAAGTAACTTGGCCAAGGTCACACAGCTGGTACCTGGTGGAGTCTGCTGTTGAAACCTTTCCTCTTAAAAAAAAAAAAAAAAAAAAAAAAAAAAGAAACCTTTCCTCTTGACCACTCCATGGAGGGTGTAGGAGGGGAAGGAGAGCTGGCAGGTGGGAGGAGCTATCCTCAAGGGGAACTGGCTTCCCAGGTGGGGGAGCTTTTTTGCTGGAAATTAGAAAAAAGAAAGCTGCTTCTCGGGGGGGGGGGGGGGGGGGGGGGGGGGGGGGGGGGGTAGGAGCACTGTGTGAGTGTGTGTGTTGGGAGGCCGGGAGGTACACTGCGGAGTGCAAGGTGGGAGCTGCAAGGCGGGAGCGGTGAGTGTTCTGGAGACCCTGGTTGGAGGGCAGCTGTGGGAAGAACTCCTGAGCCGCTGTGATGCAGGGAGGATTTGATGCCCTCCTGGGTCCCCGCTTTCTGCCTCTCGAGGCCGTCCCACATCCCTTAAGTCACTCACATGCCACACTAAATACGAGGGCACATACGACTCTTGAGTGCAGGGGTAACTGGATCGTTCACACCGTGTTAGAAAAGTCCTGAACTTTTTCCTATTAAACATCTACGACTTCCGACTCTCAGGGGGTTTCCCCAGCTTTTAGAGCCAGCAGATTTTCTTTTCCAGATCTCGGACATTTTAGGTCCCTGACAAAGTCATAAGGCTTAAGGACTGTGTTCTAGAACCCTCCTATAAGACTCAAAGAGAATGGGCTCATCCCACCAGGGGTGGGTGGGGGGTGTGGGTGAGGAAGGCAGACAGGAAGATTTCCTCCCTCCCGGGAGAACTGAGAGCACTGGAACGTGCTGGTACTCAATGGGGCGCGTGTGGTGGGCAGCGGACAGGAGGCTGCAGACGCCCTGGGCGAGACTGGGTGGGCTTGAGAAGGAAAGCTGCGGTGCCCTGGGGGCGCGTGCCCCTCTGGGACCCGGCCCCGGCCTCTGCGCCCTGCACACCGTGTCCAGCAGGGGGCGCGCACGGACCAGGCCCGGGACCGGGACCCGGCGCCCACGGAGCGGCGGGAACCAGCGCGGGGGGCCGCGGGCTTGCAACCGTCCTCACCCTCTGGACCACGCGGGTCCGCGAAGTCTGCAGTCAGAAGTCGATCCGCAAAGACCTGCCTGGAGCCACAGCTGCCGGGGGGCGGGGGGGGCCTGTCGAGGGTCCGGCCCCCATCCTGGTCCAGAAGCCTGAGCCGGGGATGCTACAGAATCCCATTCTGGAACCCGCCCCCCTCCCCCCACCCCTGGCGGCTGAGAACCTTGAATCCCTCCTCCCCGCCTACCTACTTCCACGCACCTGATTAGGTGCCTGTTTCTTTAACGATCAAGGACGTGGGAGGCGGCGGGGGTGGGGTGTTCGCTGCTCGGGCTCCCGGGCCCCTCGCAACTGTAGCATCATTCACCCTACAGACCGCACGCCAGCTCCCGCGCCCCGGCCGCCCCGGGGGGAACGCGCGGTCCTCTCCCGGCGGGGCCCCAGGCTGATCCTGCAGGCGTGGCTCCCGGCTCCGGCCTCGGCGGACTCTGCCCCGGCAGGGCAGGCACTGGGCGCTCCGGGGTCGCAGGCGGGGGTAAGGGGCGTCTCTCCCCACGGGGGCTCGGGGCACAGAAGCGCTAGCTTCTCCCCCACGGGGGTCGCAGGGGCCCGCGGGCGGCCGGTCCCTCGCCTGGGTGACCACCGCATCCTTGGCCGCCCTCCTGGCCCCGGAGCCCCGTCTCCCCGCCGAATCCTCTGGCTTCTGCATCCCTGGCAAGCAAGCCACGGAAAAGGGGGTCCTGCGTGGCCCGCGGGCCCCGAGGGTTCCCGGGACGCTGGCGGGGCGGGTCCCTGCGGTTCCGGGAGGCTCTCCGCGGAGGATGAGCCAGCCCATTCCCCCTTCTGCTCCCCAGCCTCCGCCTTCCATTCCATCAGCGCTTCCAGGTTGTCCCTCACCCGCCCGCCTACCTGTCCGCCTCCTCGACCAAGCCAAAAAGAACCACAAGAAAGGTGAAAGCTGGGTGGAAAGTTCCACAAGCAGGGCGCCTCCCGCCCGAGCTTCGGCCCCCGCCTCTAGGGCAGGCGCCCCTCCCCCGCGCCCCGGGACGTCTCCCAGACCCGCGCCCCGGGCCCTGCCTGCCCATCCTTGCTGCGGGCCCCCCGCCTCCGGGACCCCTCTTCCAGAACCGAGGTCGCAGAACCGCCCCCCTGCGCGTTCCCAACACGCCGCCCTGGCTCCACGGACAAAGAGGTTGCACCGGACCCTCCCGCTGCACCACTCCCTGGCCCAACCGCAGGGACTCGGCCCCAGACTGCGGAGCCCAGGCGCCCTCACCCCTCCAACCCTCCTGGAAGACTCCATCGCTCTCAGGGCGCCCTGTACTCCCCCCTAGGTCGTCAGGCCCAGGCAGGTGGAGTGACATTCTGGGTTGGCAATCCTGGTCCGAAGGAGCCGGGCCGGTCCCAGCCCGTTGGGCCGCCTGCAGCCCCCGCAGGAGGAGGAGAGAGAGAGGGATGCTGAGCGCGCGCGGGTCGGTTCATATTTAATTTACAAAGGATTCTCGGAGCGCCGGTTGGGCAGCCCGTGTAGCTGCAAAGCTCCTCGTCCGTCTCCCTTCCCCACTTCCTTGGCTCATTAAAATGCTCAACACTCAAATCCGGAGATTGATCTCAGAGGCCCCAAACCCGCGCCATCGACCCACCGCCAGAGAACCCCCGCACCCGGCCTGGGATGAGGGCTCGGGGACCGGGCGCCCCGAGAGCGCGCAGCGTCCAGGGAAAGGACCGGGAAGGAAGGGCGGGGTGGGGGGTGTCCCCCGGGGTCTCCCGGAGCCTGCATCCCCTTCCCCATTCTGGCCGCCAGCTCTGTCTCCAGGGCTGCTATGGGCAGGCAGGAGCTACACATCGAGTTCCAGCCAAATGCCTCGACATTCCTGCGCCTCCACCTCCTCGTCGCTAAAAGAAATGTCGGGGTTTCGCCAGAGACAGGGAGCGAGAGTCGGGAACAGCGAGTATTCGAATCTGCTGAGGCCGGCTGTTGTGTGAGGGTGTGAGACACGCTGGCGGTGGCGGCCGCGGAGGCTTGGGGGCTAGTGCGTGGGGTTGACGGTTTGCCGGAGAGGCTGTGAAGACGTTGGCGAGGGAGGGACGGCGAGAGAGGCTCGGGCCTGAAGTTCCCAGCCCACACGGCTCAGGAGGAGCAGACGTTTTGTAACCATCCCTGGGGCGCTGCTGCCTGCCGCTCTGCCCCGGTGCCCCCCTCCCCGGTAGCTGCCAAGAGCTGACGGTAAGGCGCCGGGGTGCGCCCAGGCCGCCCCGGGGGAGGGAGGCGTAGGCCGGTACCGAGCTCCCCGCGCACCGGGCCGTGCGCCCAGGCTGCAGGCTGGGCGGTGGGCTTCGCGCGCTGCTCCAGCCACGGAAATCCAGACCCAAAGATTAGGGCGTAAACGGCAGGGCAGGGGCGGCGGCGGGCTGGGGTGTAGGCGTCACCTCCCCGCGCGCCCCGCGGGTCGTGCGCTCCGGTCTCCCGGTTGGACAGGCGGGGGGCGGGGGAGACCAGGGCTCGCATCTACCCAGATCCAAGCAAAAAATAGCAGGGAGGGCGAGGCGCTCTGCTAACACTATCAATTATGCATCGTGTTGAACGTGGCTTCGGGGAGGAGGCTGCTAGTGGGGAGGGGGGTGCGGGAAGGAAGGGTCCGCGCGCGCCCGGCTGCGCGCAGCTCAGCAGGTCCTAGTTCAGGTCCGCCGGCGGCGCGGCCCGCGTTTGCAGAAAGAGTTTAAAGGCAAAGACACGCCCCCCCCTCCGGTCGTGCGCCTCGCCTTCCCCCAAATTCCTCAAAGATGGTTTGTCTCACGTGTTGCTGGGCGTAAAAGCGGCTGGCATTCAATTAGCAGCGAAGCTCCCCGGCCCCGGCGGGACCCGCGCGTGAGGGTGAGTGAGCGTGAATGTGTGTGTGTGCGCGTGGCGGGGAGGGGGGGGCAATGGTGAGCGTCCCGGGCGAAGGTGAGCCTTTGAAAAGGTGTGTGAAGGTAGAGAGGCCTCCACACACTGCCTCGGTTATTATTACATGATGATAAAGAATTCGAACATGTGAAGGTCGACTGCGTGGAGGGTGTGAAGGGTCCGTGTGTGTCTGCACTAATGTGTTTGGATGTGGGGGGCGGTGTGATTAGGCATAGTGGCAATGTCTGCCCGGTGTGTGAACGTGGGGGGCCGTGGGTCTGGGTGTGCGGGGAACCGGGGAGAGCCGGAGGAGGGCGGTGCGCGCGGGGGCACCCTGGGGACCCGCGCGGCTCAGCCTCGGGGAGAGCCGCTGCGGCTTTAACAAATGCGGCCCATGCGGGAGGTGGGAGAGGCTGTGCGCGTGGCCGCCCAGCCGGGAGCGCGCGAGGACTCCAGTGTGCAGCCAGCCAGACGTGGGGGGAACGGACGCGAAAGGAAAAACTGAAGCGGGACCTCAGGGCCCGGGAGCTGCCCACTCTCACCTGGCCCCTTCTCCGCCCTCCCCGGTCTTTCCCACAGCAACAGATGTGGAAAGCGCCCTTGGGTAGTGGCCTGGCCCCCAGACCTCCCGTCCGGAGCAGGGGTTGCAGCCCGAGGGCAGCGAGCGGAGGGTCGGCGAGCAGCGGGTAAGCCTGGGGATGCCCCACAACCTCGCCCCGGGTGTAGGTAGGTCCCACCTGGGGTCCCGTAATCCGCTTGTGCCGTCAGAGGGAGACCAGGAGGGGTGGGGAGGGGGCCTCCCCTGGGAGCAAAGGCGGCGTGGGGAACCCAGGTTCCCAAAGAGGGTCGTGTGGGAGGGGCTCAGCCCTACCGTCCCAGAACCCCAGGTGGGAGCAGCAGGCGTTTGGGTGGCTGCGGATGAGAAGGTTTAATTGGGGGGGGGAGGGTGTTGAGGGATGCTAAGGCATCAGAGCTGCAGAAAAGGGGCAGATTCCGGACCGTCTCTGGCTTCCTTAGCTAGTGGCAGCCCGTCACCTGCAGCTTGGGGACCCCACGCCCTCTGGGAGCCGCCTGGGCTCTAGGGGATGGGAGGAGGCATCTTTAGTGACAACCTCCTCAAGGATCCTGGTCCAGGCGTGGGGGAGGACCTCCTCTCTCAGAAGGAAGTTGACCCAGCAACCTCGGTTCTCCCGCGTCCCAGGGAGCTGCCGCCCAGGGCAGAGTGCTTGGGTGTCTGAGGGAGGGGCGCCGTCGGGTCTGCTGCCCGGGTCGCCTCCCACCACCGCTGCAAGTTCTGGGCATTGCTGGTCCGCTGGGATTTCAGCCTCAGCGGAGGGCTTTTGTGCATGCAAGCGTGCGCGCGTGTGCCCGCGTGTGGGTCGGTTCGTGCGAGGACTTGTGTCCTTGTGTCTGTCAGCTCAGCTGCACAATGAACAGGAGAGCGCCGCGAGGGAGAACGCTGTGCAAAAGCTAGGTTCAGCCGAAAGAACAATGAAGTCTCCAGGGTGCAGTGTGTCCACGCCTGGGTGTCTTTGTGTGTGTATGCTAGCAAATGGGCTGGGAACCTCTAAACCCTGCAGGACTTGATTTGATGGCGGTGCCCAGCGCGTGTTTGTATTGTTGTCTGCTCGTATGGTCGCGTGTGCGAGCGCTGTGCATGGGACACACAGTTCCAGGAAGGACAACAGGTCACGGACAAAAATACTTTTACTGTGGTTCCCTGCCAAGGAGTTAAACGAAGGCTTAGACACACACACACACACCGGGGTGAGGGCAGAGCCCAGTGCAGACAGGCGAGCCACTGAGCCTCTAAGAGGTCTGGTGCCAGATTCAAAGAGTAGGGGGGAAAATCGAGGTCCGAGGCCGCTAGAAGAGGAAGTCAGAGTCCTGAGAGAGAGCATGCAGTGGATCCTGAGACTTTGATCGAGCCCCACTCGTGTCCAAGAGATACTCCTGAGCCCAGAGGAGGTTACTGGAGCCCTAGGGCCTGCCCTAGATGTGTTTGCGCAGACAGTACTTAATAGGGGGAGGGAAGCCGGGCTCCTGAGTCACCTTCTCCCCTCTTCCCCTGGCTTCCACCAGCAGATTCCGCGATGGTGCCTGTGCGGGCCCTGTGGCTGGCCTGGGCTCTGCTAGGAGTGGCTGCAGCGTGCCCAGAGCCTTGCGCCTGCGTGGACAAGTACGCGCACCAGTTCGCCGACTGCGCGTACAAGGAGCTGCGCGAGGTGCCCGAGGGACTGCCGGCCAACGTGACCACGCTTAGCCTGTCCGCCAACAAGATCACAGTGCTGCGGCGTGGGGCCTTCGCCGACGTCACCCAGGTCACGTCGCTGTGGCTGGCCCACAATGAGGTGCGCACGGTGGAGCCGGGCGCGCTGGCGGTGCTGAGCCAGCTCAAGAACCTCGACCTCAGCCACAACCTCATATCCAGCTTTCCGTGGAGCGACCTGCGTAACCTGAGCGCGCTGCAGCTGCTCAAAATGAACCACAATCGCTTGGGCTCGCTGCCCCGGGACGCCCTTGGGGCACTGCCCGACCTGCGCTCCCTGCGCATCAACAACAACCGCCTGCGTACTCTGGCTCCTGGCACCTTCGATGCCTTGAGCGCGCTGTCGCATCTGCAACTGTATCACAACCCCTTCCACTGCGGCTGCAGCCTCGTGTGGCTGCAGACCTGGGCCGCAAGCACCAGGGTCTCCTTACCCGAGCCCGACTCCATTGCGTGTGCCTCGCCTCCGGCGCTGCAGGGGGTGCCGGTGCACCGCCTGCCCGCCCTGTCCTGTGTCCCACCCAGCGTGCGGCTGAGTGCGGAGCCGCCGCCTGAGGCTCCGGGCAGCCCGTTGCCCGCGGGCCTGGCGCTCATGCTCCACTGCGTCGCGGAAGGACACCCCACACCCCGCCTCCAATGGCAACTTCAGATCCCGGGTGGTACCGTAGTCTTAGAGCCTCCCGTCCGGAGCGGGGAGGACGAGGGGCTTGGGGCAGAGTACAGGGAGGAGGAAGGAGATGGGGACGGGCCGACCCAGACGGAGGCCCCAACCCCCACTCCAGCACCCGCGTGGCCCGCACCTCCAGCCAACCCCCGATTCCTGGCCCTCACCAACGGTTCCCTCTTGGTGCCCCTCCTGAGTGCCAAGGAAGCGGGCATCTACACCTGCCGTGCCCACAATGAGCTGGGCGCCAACTCCACGTCCCTCCGCGTGGCGGTGGCGGCTGCTGGCCCCCCCAAGCACGCTCCCGGCGCTGGGGGAGACTCTGAAGGGCAGGCCCCTGCTTCTGAGCGCAAGTCCACAGCCAAAGGCCGAGGCAACAGCGTTCTACCGTCCAAGCCCGAGGGCAAAGTCAAAGGCCAAGGCCTGGCCCGGGTTGCCCTCGGGGAGGCGGAGGCGGGGCCGGAGGAGGAGGAGGCGGAGGCAGGTGAGGGGGAGGAGGCGGAGGACCAGGTCTCCGCGCACCCAGTGGAGGAGCAGCGCTGCGGCCACGGGGACCCCTCGCGGTACGTGTCCAACCACGCGTTCAACCAGAGCTCGGAGCTCAAGCAGCACGTCTTCGAGCTGGGGGTCATCGCGCTGGACGTGGCGGAGCGCGAGGCTCGGGTGCAGCTGACGCCGCTGGCGGCGCGCTGGGGATCCGGGCCCGGGGGCCCCGGGCGGCCCGGCCGGAGGCCGCTGCGCCTGCTCTACCTGTGTCCAGCCGGGGGCGGCGCGGCCGTGCAGTGGTCGCGCGTGGAGGAGGGGGTCAACGCCTACTGGTTCCGCGGCCTGCGGCCCGGCACTAACTACTCCGTGTGCCTGGCGCTAGCAGGGGAGGCCTGCCACGTGCAGGTGGTGTTCGCCACCAAGAAAGAGCTGCCCTCCCTGCTGGTGATCGTGGCGGTGAGCGTGTTCCTCCTGGTGCTGGCCACCGTGCCCCTGCTGGGCGCCGCCTGCTGCCACCTCTTGGCCAAACACCCAGGTAAGCCCTACCGTCTAATCCTGCGGCCACAGGCCCCTGACCCCATGGAGAAACGCATCGCCGCCGACTTTGACCCGCGTGCCTCCTACCTCGAGTCCGAGAAAAGCTACCCCGCTGGAGGCGGGGCAGACGCGGGGGGGCCAGAGGAGGCCTCCGGGGAGGGCCTGGACGAAGACGCGGAGCAGGGGGACCCAGGCGGGGACCTGCAGAGGGAGGAGAGCCTGGCGGCCTGCTCGCTGGCGGAGTCCCAGTCCAAGGCCAACCAAGAGGAGTTCGAGGCGGGCTCCGAGTACAGTGATCGGCTGCCCCTGGGCGCTGAGGCGGTCAACATCGCCCAGGAAATTAATGGCAACTACAAGCAGACGGCAGGCTGAACCCCCAGCGCCGAGGGCCCGCCCATTCCCGTCCCCCACCTTGGGTGCCCGGAGCAGAAGCCCCGGGCTGGCAGGGCGCTGCCCACCCCCACCCCGTCCTGCAACCTTCACTTATTCCGCCCCTTTACCATCCCCGACCTTCACTACCGGGGACCTCTAGTGGGGAGGGGGACGACTTCACCGGTCCCTGGCCCCCCACTACCTGGCGGACCCAGTGCCCCTCCGTGGCAAGCACAGTACCCGCGCTGCCCTCCCTCTGACACCCCACCTGCCGCCCCTGAAGCCATGTCCGCGCCTCTCCATTCCCACCGCAATTGTTATCTGCAAAGTGTGATGCTCCTGCCTGCCGTGGGCCCTGGAACCCGAGGAAACCGAGGCGACGTGGGGAGCGTCTGGTGGCAACGCTGCGGCCAGGGGTCAGCCCGGACCCTAAGCAGAAGCCCCTTGCGCGGAGCGCTGCAGGGTCCCGCCTGGACCCCCACTCCGTCCTTTCTGGGGTGCACGTCCCAGAAGCCAGGACTTTGGTGGCAACTCCCTAGTCTTAGTTTGGAAGCCCGCTTCCGACCGGGGAAGCAAACCCTTCGGTGCCCCCATCCCCCCAACCTGCTGACGGGCTGGAGCCCAGCCCGGTTCCTGGGGCGCCTTTCAGCTCCGCCTCCGATTTTCATATTTTCGTTGTGTTTTTTTGTTTCTGTTTTTGTCCCCCCGCCCCCAAAGACAGCGACACTCCGGGTCTGGTGCTAACACCCCCTTCCCAGCCCCTGGGACGCGTGGGGGAACCCCATTCTCTCCCTCCTCCTCCTAACTTAAGGCGCCGCGGAGCCGCGGGCTTGGTCCTGGGGGAGTTTCGTTGTGGGTGAGTTGGGGTCCCGGCGCTCGGAGCTCTCCACCTCCACCTCCGCTGCTGCCCGCAGCCCAGACCTGCTTTTCCAGGTTGGGGGAGGGGGGTGCAAAGGAAGTCCAGGGCGGTCCCCGGGCCGCGCCCCAGGTCGCAGCACAAAGCCGAGCGCGCCGGGCGGCGGGATGCGGACCAGAGAGGCTCGGTCCTGGGCCACCCGCCCCCCTCCCTCCCGGCGACTAGTCCTATAGCCGAGCGAGCTCCGTAGCAGAAGTCTGTGTTCCGTAAAGTGTGACCGTGTAGTGTAGGGGGGCGGGGGGCGGGCGGGCAGGGGTGGGGCGGAAGGGAGGGTGGACTCGGCGCGGCGCCTGGGGCGGGGTCCTGTTTTCATTCTTGAAGGTAAACGTCGGGGATGGGGCGGGGGGTGGGGGGTGGGTGGGGGTCGGGCGTCGGGACCGGCCCGTCCGCAAAGCGCAGCACAAGTGCGGCCCGGGGCGGAGGAGCGCCCTGCCCCCTCCGGAGCCCGCGCCCTTTTCTAAAGGCGTCTGTATGTAAACAGTCAATAAAACAATCGATTTGAACTGGGCTCGCTGACTCTTTCTGGGGGGGGGGGGGACAGAGGAAGGAAGCCTGGGGGATGCTGGTGGAAACCACAGAAGGAAGGAGCCCCCAGGATCCTCCCTTTGGGATCCTTTGTGTGATTTCGTGTTGGTTTGACTGTCCTGTGATTTTGCCGCCTGCTCTTTCTCCGCGGCGCCTCCGACTCCTGGGTGGAGGGGGTAAAACCACGTGGGATGGTGGAAGCTGGAAGGAGTGGAGAGGGCTTGCAGGGAGGGTGGGTGGCTCTCTGCAGGCTAAGCTCCAGGAGTCCAGGGAGCTCAAGGGCATGCACGTGGAGTGTGTTGTGTGGGTGCCAAATCCTCCGTGGGTGGACACTGTGGCTCTGATGGGGTGTTGCTGTGTGTGTGTGTGTGTGTGTGTGTGCATGTGCACACGTGTGTGGACTGCCTGGTTTCTGTTTCATCTCCAGTGAGAAGAAGACCGTGGGGGGATTCATAGGGGCAAGACTGCTGCACCTTGCACAAAAGAAGTCCCAGATAACACAAAGTACAGAGCAGGCAAAATGATGGAGAGCAGAAAACCAACCTGGCAAGGCTGGTTCTGCAGAACAAGCTGGCACCTTCAGCGGAGGAGCTGTGTGTGCATGCCCAAGCAGGTGCCTGCGCGTGTGCGCACGTGTGTGTCTGGGACAGGGCTGCTCAGTGGATGATGGACAACTGACAAGGTCTGTGAGTCCCTGGGGTGAGTTGAGGTGGGTGCACATGTAGGATCAGTGCTGAAAGCACACTGATTTGATAGTCCTAGAAGTGAGGTTTCCTGTGTGGAGGAGAACGGGAGACAGAAACAGGAATTAAGAGGGAGTGCTGTGGCCCTGACCAGCCCACAGGGCAGGGCCTGGGCTGGCCGTGTGTCAGTGGAATCCCTCTGCAAAACAGGGAGTGGCCAGGAAGGGAGGTATAAGAGGAAAGGCATAGAAATAGGGGAGCAGATAAACATTCCAGCTGTAGCTCCAGCTTCCATCTCTTCTCCTCCCTCACCCTTTAGGTGGGTATCAAGTCTTCCTAACTGGACCAGTCCACCCTGGGGACCCGGCCCAGGTCCAGACACCCAGCCTCCTATCCTAGCCTGTCTCCTGGCAGAGGTGGGGACTGTGATTCTTCCCAGGGCCAGAGCCTTGGGAAGAGTCCACCCTCCCTTCCGCCCCCACCCCTGGTTCCCTGCTCAGACCAGCAAACCTGTGTCAGAGAAAAAAAAAAATCCCTTCTGAGAGTCACAGCTCGAGCCCTCCACTACAACTAGCCCACTGCCGGGGACACGGCTCAGAAATATAATCTTATATTATAAAAGCTTTGTTCTATTCAAAACTGCTGCCTTTGAGCAGGGGGCAGGGACTGGCTCAATTTCATAACTGGTTCAGGAATCCACCCACATGATTGCATTTGGCAGAGGCCTGGCTGGGTGAGTGCTCAGCAGCTTTGGCCTAACCCAGTTCTCTGGTCATGGGTATGGAGGGAGGAGGGGAAGACGGGGTCCTTGTCCTAAGGACTGGAGACCTCCTAGAACCCTGAGGGCCCCAGGGAGATGTGCAGGGTTCTGAGAGTTCTTCCCCTCCTTGGTCCCGGGCTCTGCGTCCCGCTGGAGGGGCATGGACTGCTCAGCCAGCCTGGTGCTCTCGGGGCAAAGCCAGGCCCCAGGCTGGCCTCACGGGATGGGAGTGCTGGAGGTGGACGACCAGGGAGCCGTGACACTCCGTCAGGCCCTTACCAGCTTCCTTCCGTATGAATGGGTGATTGGCACATGCACAGAATGGTCTCCAGCCTCCAGCCTTCCTTCCTGTCTCTTCTAAAATTTTATTCTTTCATTTCCTCCCCATCTCTCCTCTCTAGTCTCTTTCTCTTTCTGCTTTTCCCTTATTTCTTCCTCAAAGAATCTCTTAAAATCCCAGGGTTGGAAGGAACCCTGAAACCTTGCCTATTTGAAGCTTCATTCTTTTCTTCAGAGCCCTCGTCAGCTGGTTGTGTGACCTCCATCGCGCTGATTCAGGGATGGGTGCAGTGTCGCCAGGGGGTGGTTGTCCAGATCAGATGTGGGTCCCCAAATGTGGGGCGATGATTAGGTGGAAGCTGGTGGCAGTGTGGGACGTGAAGGAATTCACGTGAGGCAAAACATAGGAGATCATAGTTTATTGAACACCCCGCAAGGGGGCACCTGGGTGGCTCAGTGGTTGAGCGGCTGCCTTTGGCTCAGGTGGTGATCCCGGGGTCCTGGGATCTAGTCCTGCATGAGGCTCCCTTGCAGGGAGCCTGCCTCTCCCTCTGCCTATGTCTCTGCCTCTCTGTGTCTCTCATGAATAAATAAGTAAAATCTTTAAAAATATAAATAAATAAATAAATAAAGTCTGTCTGTCTCTCCCTGACTTCCACCCCTTAAGCCTGACTCTGCCACTGGCACACCTCTGTGAGAACCCTCAGAGGTATGCAAGTGTAGTACCCACTTCCAATCCTCGCTGCAAAGCTTTCCATTCAATGCAGATTTTTTTTAAAGATTTTATTTATTTATTCATGATAGACAGAGAGAGAGAGAGAGAGAGAGGCAGAGACACAGGCAGACGGAGAAGCACGCCCCATGCTGGGACCCCCACCTGGGACTTGATTCCAGGTCTCCAGGATCACACCCTGGGCCAAAGGCAGGCGCTAAACCGCTGAGCCACCCAGGGATCCTCAATGCAGATTTTTTTAGTGTCTCCAGGTCCTGTGCTATTTTGTCATAAGACTTACCTGGATGCGGTATGGGAATGGAATCCAGTGGGTTGAGGAGTGTGTGTGTGTGTGTGTGTGTGTGTGTGTGTGCGTGTGTGCGCGCGCGCGCGTGTTATAACCATGTGTTGGGAACTGGAAAATGCTCAGAGAATGCAATATGACAGCAATAGCCTTGGAACTCACAGCAATTTATCAGGAGCAGTAATTCTTTGAGCTACAGAAACCAGATGCCCAGGATGTGGCCTTGAATCAGATTGGAAACCTGTCTGCAGAAAGGTGATTTGAAAGGAGTGCCCCCCTCTTTAGTGTCTCCTAAAGATCAGCTGGAATGAAAACCATCTTGAAGATCATGAGAGAAAGTCCATTAATACAAAAGGACAAAGGGATGCAGGGCTTCTTTGAGGAAGAAGCATCTGGAACGGGGTCCAGCGCTTCCTGATCTTGTATTTGGAATGCAGCCCTCCACTCATGCCATTGGAATAACAACCACAACTAAAGCTAACATTTCTAAAGATTACTCAAGTCTGTAAATGTTTGGACAGTTAATCCCCGGTGGTGATGCTAATCTTGATTTTTCCCTCCTTGATCTCAAGGCAAAGCAATTTGGTAGGTAAAGGAAAGAGGGTAGCATCTTGCTACAACTGTCTTGCCCCAGACCCCTTAATATCAGAGCCCCAGCTATGAGACACCCCATAGGGAAAGAGGGCCCCTCTGCCCAGCAGGACGCATCATCCGCAGAGAAAGAACCACGATGTATGAGCAACTGAGAAGAGAGACTGGGGTACATTTACCTTTAGGGATGAGGAATATTCTCTGCCGAAAAAGCCAAGCTCAGGAAGGGGGACCTAAGGAAGGCCCCTTGTAGAGGCCAGAAACTGGGAAGTCTGACCTAACAAATACCTTTACCTGTAACTCGCCAACACAAGGACATTGACAAGAGCGATTCTGTTGGAAAATTGGGAATGGAGAAGGCAGGGCCATTTCAGTTGTAATGTGTCAATTAATTGATTGCATTTGTAACCCACCCACCTACACATAAGTGTGCAATGACAAGATTTTGCCTTAGGACTCAATAAAGAATAATATACTGAAAATGGAAGATCTGCTGTGACGGGCATATAAAAGAGATTGAATTAGAAATGGTCTTGCAGTATTAGCATTTAATTCAAAATATGGCCAGTTTTCCTAATGAGACTTGATATGGATTTTTTTCAAAAAGCATCCAAAGACCCCATGATGAGCAGAAAATAAAACCAACTTGTTGGGTTAAATTCGTTGGAAAGACTTTGTACCGTCTCTTGGTTGAGTAAGTAATTTAGGTAATTTGAAGATGATATGATTTTTTAAATTGCGTTAATTGCACATGCTTTGTCTGGACATGTGAATGTAAGTTTAATAATTAAGTTTTAGTCCACATGGAATAAGGAGAATAAATGTTTATATTTTTATCAACTGTTTACTGCTTAAATATGTCCCCTTGTGTATTGGGAGTTAATTTGGTTTTGGCAAATTAGATGCACTTTCTCTTAGCAATACTCCAGCAAACTGGTCCTTAAATTGAGTCTAAAAGCCATTCAAGGCGTCCAGCCATTTGAGAGAAAATTGCCAATCAAAACATCAGAGAAGAACTTCGTAAGAATTGATCAGTGTTGAAATAGGGCAAGAATGGGAGTGGAGAATTAATTATCAATGTTTTTTTTTTAAATAAAAAGGCTTGGGACGCCTGGGTGACTCCGCGGTTGAGCATCTGCCCTCGGCTCAGGTCATGATCCTGGGGTCCCAGGATCGAGTCCTGCACTGGGATCCTTGTGGGGAGCCTGCTTCTCCCTCTGCCTGTCTCTGCTTCTCTCTCTCTGTGTCTCTCATGAATAAATAAATAAACTCTTTAAAAATTTTTAAATAAATCAAAGTGGCTTATTGTGCATTTAGCAGACTAAAAATGCTAATAGTCACCTAATAAATACTGACAATAAGTAATTAAATTTAATTAAAT